TGTCTCTGGTGTGACTTGGTGTGATTTTCTTCATGTACTTTCCTCATGGTTAAACTGTTGACCTTCTGGGGTCAAGTTTTTTGTTTTGTTTTGTTTTGTTTTGTTTTACCATTATTTCCATTTTTCTTCAAACATTCTAATATCTTCTCTTTCTTTACCTGACTTTTTGGTTGTTTATTTTATTTTATTTTATTTTATTTTTTTATTTTTAATGACTGAAAAATCTAAAACCGCAGCTTCTGGAAGAACCACTTATTCTTGCCGGTCTTGTACCTCTCCTCGAACTTGACCTTGGCCTCTCATCAGGCCTCGCGTTTAAGAGCAGGGTCTCTGAAGACATCCTTGTTGATGACAGTTTTGTCCAAAGGGATATCCACAGAGTACCTCGTGGGCATGAGGTGATTGTAGTTAAAACTTTCACAAAAGACTTGATCTTTGACCTCTTGGTGATTTTCTTCTTGCCCATGGCAGCTGTCACTTTTCGGGGATAGCGGTCAATTCCGGCCACTAGAGCATGGCTGTAGGGACGGTCTGAGGTGCCATCATCAATGTTCTTCACGTTGACTGCTTTGCGTCCGGAGTAGCGTCCGGCCAGGACCAGCACCACCTTCCCGGGTTTCATGAACTTGCCCATCTCGACACCAGTCACTCAAGCCTACAGCAGAAAGGAAGACTTTACCTAACTTTTTGAATGTATGAAATATTGTTATGCTATTTTAATTTTTTTTTTTGGTCTGTTAATTCTAATATCTGAATCGGTTCTGGGTCTATTTCAATGTATTGGTTTTTCTCCTCATTATGGGTCCTATTTGTCTGGTTTTTTTGTCTTTGTTTTTGTTTTTGCCTGCTTGGTAATGTTGGATCGAACGCCAGGTCTTATACATTTCTTCTTGTTGGGAGCTGGGTATTCCTGTGTTACTGTTAACGTTCTCAAGCTTTGTTCTGGGCTGCACTTGAGTTTCTTGAAAATGGTTTGATCCTCTTGAGTCCTGCATTTAAGTGGGACCAGCACCTTGTTTCATCCAGGAGAGTGATATTTACTCTCCGTGATGGAGGCAGGTGCTGGCGCTGCACCTGTCCGGCTGGAACAGAACAATACCTGTCCCCAGACGTGTTTGAGGCCCACCACCGGCCCTGCGACCTTTGAGGCGATTCTTCTCTGCTCTGTTTTCCTCACATACAACTGCTGATCAGAAACCAGGTTAATACTTCAGACTGAGCCTCTGTGGATCTGTGGTGTGCGCTCAGGTAATTAAGCTGGTTCTCTGTTCTGCAAAATGGGGTTCCTTGGTCTGCCCACACTCAGCTGTATCTTCCCAACACAGGCAGTCCTCTGGGCCAGGCCTGGGCCCCTGTCCCTGTGCTGAAAACCCAAGGCAGTAGGCTGGGCTGTGAGGCACAATGTCTTTCTCCACAAGCCCACAGGGATCACGGTTCTTCATTGCATGAGCCCGTGTCTTGATTCTGGATGTTTCATTATTTGGTCTGTTTTTGCTTGTTTTTTATTTGGGTGGAAGGGACAATCTGGTCGCTATGACTCTCTTGGCCAGATGAAAGTGGGGAGGTCTTCAGTTGTATGGTGGCTTCCCCTTCCCCACTAGGTCTGCCTTTCTCATCCGTAACACCCCAGTGCCCATAACGGGGCAGGCGTGCAGTAGGTCCTGGATACATGTTGGTGACATGAATACATGAATTTAACATGAATAAATGAGTAGCAAGTAGAAGTGTTTTTCACGAGCGTAAGGCATGCAACCACCTTCTCGTATGCTTATTTGTATTCAAATCTTGTTTCTTCTGGATGACACTCTTGAGGCCAAGAGCCTATAGGGTTTATTCTTATAACACCTTTAGGGCTTAACAAAACTTGGCCTTGCATGCTTCAGGCTTTTAATAAATATTTGTTTAATGAATAAATGAACAGGAGACATTTACACATTGGGTTGAGACAAACCCATGACACAACTGACTTAGGCCCAGCGATGCCTCATTCCCCACCCTGGTTCATGCCAGGGCAGCCCTGCTCAGTCGCTGACCAGTGACAAAAGGGTGATGTGAGGATGTGGCCATCCAGGGCAGCGTGAACGCTCACCCACGGCGCCTGCGTCTCGCCAAGGTTTTTAGACCATTCTTGGATAGGAAGCGTGAGGGACAGAGAGAGTTAAGGCAGACAGGTCAGCCGCCGTGGAGGTCGATCATGACAAAATCATAACATAAGTCAACCGGAAAACAGAAGTGTCTTCACAAGTGCAAAGCTGAGGACAGTGCCCGGCAGGGGTAGCTGCTCACCTAGCCCAGCAGTTCATCCGCTTCTACAGACATAGCCTTTTGGGGGGACCTCAGCTCTGGGACCTTCTGTAAGCAGAAGAAAGACTGATAAGGGCCTTCAGAGCAGCTGGCGTCCGGGAGCAGGTGTCAGCCTTGAAGGCGGGAGATCATAGCCTATTAGCAGGACCCGGACACGTTCCCAAGCGGAGGAGTGGCTGTCCCGTTAGGTTCGGGGCACAGGACAGGAGCGTGCTCAAGGCGGGAGCCTCTCAGTTTCTCTCCCCTTCCAGACCGCTTTCCCTGTTTCCCGTGTGTGACGGAATCGGCCCCCCCCCGGGACAGTGGCTCACGCTGGGACGAATGCAGGTACCGGGCAGCGTGCTGAGCCGGGGGGCCCTGAGAGTCCGGCGCCTGGCCTGCCCCCGCCCCCCGAGGATTTGAAGCACATAGACCCAGAGCCCGCGAGCCTGGGTGCCCGGCGTTTGATCTGTAAAGCCTGGGAGCGTCCTCGCCTGGATGGCTTCGCAGCGTGATCAGGACCCTAACGCGTTTCAGGGCCAGTTTCATTGCTGAGTGGATCCTACGTGGGGGCTGCAAGCTGCTGTCTCCGCACAGGGTCAGCTGTTCACCCTCGGCCCTCGTTCTCAGCCCCTTGGAGAAGCGGCGGGGACACTGAGCCCCCAGAGAGAAGCCCTGAAAGGCTCCGGGAAAGACACACGGCACGTCCGGCTCCGCGGGTGCTGACAAATCTGCTGCACGCATTGCCCTCTGGTGGTCACGCAGCAGACGAGAAACTTCGAGGGCAGGTTACCAGGGGACGGTTGTGCACAGTGGCAGCGTGTCCTCCATCAGGAAGAGCGTGCCTCGTTCTTCTCTGCTCCCACGTTGCGCACACACACCTGCAAGCAAGCGAGGTGCCACAGCAGGGCTCTTCCCCTCTGGCCTGAAAACATAACACGAGCTTTGGATGTTTAAAAAAAAATTCCAGGGCAGCCCCGTTGGCTCAGCGGTTTAGCGCCACTTTCAGCCCAGGGCGTGACCCCGGGGTCCCGGGATCGAGTCCACGTCAGGCTCCCTGCGGGGAGCCTGCTTCTCCCTCTGCCTGTGTCTCTGCCTCTCTCTGGGTGTCTCTCATGAATAAGCAAATAAAATCTTAAAAAAAAAACTTCAGACTGTAGATCCTCATTTCGGATGTCCGGAATCGCAGAGTGTCCGAGCTGGCACGAATCTCTAAGACGATCGCGTTCAGATCCCCCTTTTGTGAAAATTAGTGGAGATTGGAGTCCAGGACTGGGTGACTTCCCTCAGATGGCGCAGAGAGGTCGGACTGCTTCGGGCTCAGCCGGGGGTGTGTGGCTCCGTCACAAGCTGGGAGTGGCCCCTGCCCCAGGCAGCTGGGTCCCCTCACGTGGTACCCGGGGTGGGGGCCTGCGGGGACCCCGACACCAGGCTCTGAGTGGCCCGTGCGCAGGTGGGTGGCTGCCCCCGTCGTCCAGCCCTCCTCCCAGCTGCGGCCACCTCTTCCCCGGCCTGGCTCGGGGGCACAGGGCCAGGACCAGACAGGACGGGCTGCTGCCGCCGCACAAATGAGACAGAGCTGGTCTTTCTGTGGATCTGTTTGCTCTCTGCCTCCCTCTGGTCGCGTTTTCCTCTCCAGGCGGGGCCGCAGGTGGCTGCCCTGTGGCCTTGTGGAGTGCTGTATGAGCCCTGATGTTTTTCTCTCTAATTTTTAATTTCAGCATATAAATAAAATAATTGTTTCTTTTTTATTGTAGTAAAACACACATAACACAAAAGGTATGATCTTCATCCTTTTGAAGTGTATGGTTGAGCGGCATTAAGTACATTCACGTGGCTGTGCAACCGTCACCACCCTTCGTCTCCAGAACTTTGTCATCTTCCTAAGGAAAATCTCTGTCCCCATGAAACACTGACCGCCTGCCCCCCCCCCGCCCCAACGCCCCAGCCCCTGGTGCCCCCCCTTCCTCTAGTCTCCATCTCTGTGAATCTGGCCCCAAGCATAGGCCCCAAGAATAAGTGGCATCCCATAATCTTCATCCTTTTGTGACCGGCTTACTTCACTGAGCACAATGTGCTCCATGTTCATGCATGTCACAGCCTGTGCGCAACTGTCCTTCCTGCTGAAGGCTGAGCCCCATTCCGTGCCTGGACCATTTTGCTCATCCATGCCCCCGTGGATGGACACTCTCGGGTTGTTTCCACAGGTCGTGCAGGGGGCTGGTGAGAAGCCGGCGAGGCAATCCCGTCTCTCTCCTCCGGTGGGTGCGCGTCCCCAGGGTGGGGCCGGGGGTGGGGGTGGCAGGCGTCCAGGAGACCCTCACTGGAGGTCGCGGTGTCCCGGGCCACCTGGTACTCCTTCCAGCCTCCCTCAGGCTGCAGCCCGAAATCCGATCTGTTTGAAGTCTGCAAACTGATTCAGAGGGACCCAGAACCTGAAAAGAAATAGTCCTTCCAGCTGATCTGAAAACACAGGAAACTTGTTGGCTGGCTGAGAAGGTGGCTCTCAAAGGAGCAGCTCCCACATACACGGGACGCACGTGTCCCCAGAGGCAGTGCGGGCGGTAGTGATTCTGTTCCCACAAAGTTGGAGACGACCCGCGTTGGCCCGGGTGGGGGGTGCAGGTCTCAGCGCCCCCCCCCCACGGCTCTACACCCCGGGGGCTCCAGTTCTCTCCAAAGCAAAAACAAAACCGGTGCACAGCGGGTGACCCTCTCACCTCTCGGCCTCCGGCTCCGCTCGTGCAGGAAGCCTCTGAGCGCCCGGCTGCTCCCGTGTGCGGCTGCGTCCGGGGCTCTGCAGACGCCCGGGCTCCGAGGCTCCTTCCTCCCGGTCCGGGGACAAGGCCGGGCCGAAGCCAGGGGACCCTGCCTCGCTGCGCCCCAGTCACCTCTCCCTGCTGCTGGCGAACTTCCCCTCTAAATTCCTGCCGCGGGATGTCCACGGTCTGTGCCAACGGCCTGACTCTGCCTCCCCCGCGCACGCTCCACGCAGCACAGGTAAATGGCACTTTTGCTTCCGCTTCACTGACCATCCTGTGTCCCACGAGGGCAGAAGCCCGGCAGGCGCCGGCGACACTCGTGTGCAAGCGGGGGACTGCCCCCCACCCCAGGCCCTGGGGACAGGAGTCCTGGGCTGTAGGCTCCAGGCACGTTCAGGTCCCCGAACCCCAGCAGCCTGGCCATTAGAGGGTTACCCAAAGTTCAGCGGAGCTCCTCAAATTGCAAATAAAGGCGAGGAGGAAAAGTAAGTAACGCTAAGTAAAAAGCGTCAACAAGGAGCCACGAAGCTATATTCTCTGTTGATGAACTCTAGCAAATTGCTTAGGAAAATGAAAGTGCCATAAAAGGCGTATTTGCAGCGGGGAGCAGCAGGCTCTCCCGGCTTCTGGGGGAGTCGCGGCTGCCGGGCCTTCGGAGTTCTGGGCGTGTTTGCAGCTATAGCCCCGGCTGCTCGTGACGGGGTTTTTAAAACCAACTTCCAGCTTTTCGACCCCAGTGATATCCCACTTATGTCTTTTAAAAGCTCGTTTTTCAAAACTGAAAATGTGTTCTCCTGGCGATCCCTTCCCTTCTAATCAACGTAACGCAGCCCGCTTGGTCGTCACTGCAATCGTTTTGCTAAATTGCTTTTTAATTTCCACTTAACATGAGCTCTTAGAAAGCTGCAGGTCGAAAACTTGAAGCTTAGGTGATCTTTTTTCTTTCCTAACCGTGAGGAAGGTCCCGAGGCCTTCCCAGACAGCTTCACATTTAATTCAAAATAAGAAATACTTTTAAATTGTGCAGGAAAAGATCCCATTCCAGTCACTCGGCTTTCTCTTCTGCTGTCGCTGGGCCACGTCTGAGTCCTCCAGACCCTTGAAGGAAAGCACGAAAATGAACCTCTGAGTAAAATATTGGCACATCGGATGTCAGCCTAGGCATAATTTTATTTTCGTTATCTTGCTTTTTTCTTTTCATCTCTGGCTTTATTGAAGGCTCCCTTGACACTTCACATTTTGCTTAGAAATATTGGGGATTGTGAGTGTATTTTCCGGAAAGGATTTTCTAGGAGAAGAAAGGAGATGGATTTACATTCTATTTTCCTCATTGTTAGGGCCACGTTTCTTGACACAGCACAGTGATATTTTTGTTGAAAACATCTATCCCAAGCCTCTGGGTTTCCCTGAATTTGTCTAGCAAAAAGAGATGGACAGAGAGATTTTCTAGCTGTAAGTTTTTAAAGGTATAAGACATTAAAAAAAAAAAAACCTGCATTAAATTAGCAGCAGGAGTAGTGCTCTCTGTTTCCAAATGCTTCTAGAATTGAGAATGATTCCTTTTCTCTAATTTTGGAGCTTGCACAATTCTCACACCTGCGTCCTTCCTTACGCGTGGACACACAAACACAATCATTGCAGACTACAACATTTTTCTAAAACACGTGCCCACAGTTTTTTAAAATGAACGTATTTGGCCCATTGATATTACACGACCAAGGCTTTATACGAAATCAGGCTTGGGACTGTTGCTTCTTCAGTGAGCCCTGTCGCGGGAAGTGTCTCCTATAAGGAGAAAACATGACAGGAGTGCTAACCACAGAAGCCGATGTGACACGGTAGGCCCGGTGACACTCCCTGTTTGGAGGTGAAGCCCAAAGTCACCACATCCCGGAGACTTTGCCCTTAACTAGTCCTAGGTGCGGGGACACCGGGCGTCCCTTTGTCCAGGCACGAGTAAGCCGGCTCCCCTGGCTCCGGCTCCCGGGCACTACTGGATCTTTGCAGTTTCCTGGCGCGGGCTCCCCCGAAGCAGGAATACGGTCCTTTTCATTTTTATCAGGCAAGAGCTCCCAGCAGATTTAAGGCGGTGGACACACCTGTGGGGACGCCCCAGCCCCCACCCCCATCCGCATCTGAAAGCCTTGCCATGTTGCCTCTATCTTTGAGGGAAAACGAGTCTGTGTAGTTTTCCTGGATTCATTACAAGAGCGGGCTGCCCGGGTTAGGCCTCAGCACTGCTCCTGCTTGTAAAACTGCAGGTGTGCGGCTGACGTCCAGTGCGGCGGGGACGCCGGCCGAGGGCTCGGCGCAATTAGCGGGGCTTCCCTTCTCGCCTTTAATCAGCTGCTGACACCTCACTGTTTAATATCACAGTGAGCACAGTCGCAAACAATGAAGGACAGACCCCTGAAATCTAAAAAAAAAAAAAAAAAAAAGTCTCTGCTTAGTAACAAACGTAAAATCCATCATTATTCAATACAGAGGAATTTTGTTTCATTATGACAAAACATCGGTTCTATTCCTGGTGCTTTATTTTGATTGCAGAAGTTCTTTTTTTCTGACAAAGCAATTTCTCTGTGCAAAGAAACATTGTAGCTTTTGTTTATTTTCATCCCTCCGAAATAGGGAACGCAAAATAGGGAGCACTCTTTTTAACTGGAGAGCAATTAGTCCTATTCCTGTCTCAGAAAATGTTTGGACACAGAGGCTTAGGGAAGAGAATATGCCTTCAAAAATTACTGACCATTAAGTCATAAAGACGACCTAGGGGTTATTTTCCTGTAGCAAATAACCATAATTTCCTCGAAATGTAGTTCTTTGTGTAATTAAAGTTACTTATTTATTTGAGGATTTAAATGTGCTTTAGTATCTCAGATGTTAAATGGCCTTAGCGTCCGGGTAAAATTCAATACTTTGAGCCCGGGGTTGGGTTCAACTACACGTATAATTTTGCCACTGCTCTGTAACGCATGTTGTTGTTCTTGGAATAACCGTTTAAAATGCTAGCGTGCCACGGGCGGGAATCGGGACACAATCGTGCTCTACGCGGGCAGGGGCTCTATTTTCCTGGACTCCTTCCTCGTCTCCCAAATGAATCTCAAAGCTCGATGTTTCACAGCAAGGCAGAGAGAGGGTCTCGGCGTGTGTTTATTGATACAGAATGTTCGAGACTGACAGACAGGCCTTTGCGTATGATCAAGCAACTTTCTGTGCAAATCTTATGGAATGTGGCATTCCAGACTTTAAAGGGAAGGAGAGATCGCCATGGCAACGGCACATGGGGGCTGGAGATGGGGATCCCCTTGGGAGCTCAAAGGCCAACAGAATTTTAAGCATTTGCAACTTAAAAAAAGAAGGAGAGGAAAACTCTATAACTCTGCCAACGATGTCTACAGAAATGGAACATGGTGAGAGGTCCCTTCAGAAAGATCTGGATTAACCCACCCAGATCAAGCCGGGATGATAGGAGTTGGAAAGGACAGTTGGTGGGGTTTTTTCGGCTTTTTGTTTTCTGTTTTTTAAAAAAGGGCAGGCCCTGCTTTTTCTGCGGAAGAGGGAGATGTTGTCGCTGCTAACATCCGGGAAAGAGCCAAGTTTGGGAAAGAGGCCGGTGACCGGCCAACAAGTGTCCTCGGCAGGGGGCCGCCCTGCTGTCGGCGGCTCCTGACCACCCAGGCTCGGCGTCTCCCAGCTGGGGAAGGAGGGAGGCCTGAAGGCGGCCCGCAGACCCTGGGGTCCCCGGCGGCCCAGCCCGCAGCCACCGCGGCGCGTCTGCGTGTGTAGAAGCCGCTTCCACGAGCACAGAAATCTCTTAAGATCTCAGGTAATAAACACGCGTGGAGTATAAAACTGACTGTAAACAACTGTAATTTGTGGTTGTAGTACCGACAAGCGGTAACTAAGGAAAGAACAGATTTATAAATAGGGCTAATCCGATCTCACTGGAAATGGAACATTTTTGTATCCTCCCGGCTTCCCAAAAAAAGAGCCTCCCGAAAGGGCAGAGCAGGAGTCGGGCGGCAGCTGGCGAGTTAGGTCAGCACGTGCTGGCGTCGCAGCGCCCACGCCCGGACACGGCCGCCCTCTGGCCCGGGGGGCTCTGCGGGGCTCACAGGCCGCACTCAGGCAAGTGGACAGCAGTGGGCACAGACGGCCCCCGGGGCCTCGTGGGGATCCTCAGAGGAGAGGGGAGGATCCACCTCTCCTTCCAGCTGTGGGCATGCCTGGCAGGGGCCAAGGCCTGCGAGTCCTCCGGGTGATGAGATCCGGAGAGGGCTTCCGTTCCGGGTGCAGCGGCCCGGCCCGCTCAGCCCCGCTGCCCGGTGTGGCGGTCAGCCCGGCACACACCACAGACCTGTGGCCACCGCCTTGCTGTCGCAGTGGCTCCAATAGGCACAGGCTCCAGCTGCTTGAAGCCACCTGTTGGGGGGTGGATAGCAGGGATGGGGGGTGGGGGCCACAGGCCAGCGACCCCAGCCTCTAGGATGAAAGCGGGGCAGGGGGGCTTCTGACGTCCCCTGCAGGCCTTTCCTGCCCAGCTGGCGATCTTGAGTGATTCGTCTGGTTTCTTAGAGCCTTCATTTTGTTGTCTGAAAAATGGGTCTGATGGTATCTCTTCCGCCTCCAGGGACGAGCACTCAAGAACACAAGCCAGTGCCGGTGGAGCGAGGGAGAGACAGGCGGGCAGCAGGGGGACGTCAATGAATGAGCTTCGTCCTTCTGGGGATTGTCAACGTGACTTATGGTCGCCATCAAAGTACTTAAGAATGTTCCGAAGGTGGGAAGGAGAAGATGAAGGCCATTGCTTTTTTTTTTTCTTTTAAAAAAATTTTTTTATTGGTGTTCAATTTGCCACCATATAGCATAACACCCACTGCTCCTCCCATCAAGTGCCGCCCTCAGTGCCCGTCACCCAGTCACCCCCACCCCCCACCCTCCTCCCCTTCCACCACCCAGTTCGTTTCCCAGAGTTATGAGTCTCTCATGTTCTGTCTCCCTCTCTGATATTTTCACTCATTTTCTCCCCTTTCCCTTTATTCCCTTTCACTATTATTCATATTCCCCAAATGAGTGAGAACATACACTGTTTGTCCTTCTCCGATTGACTTATTTCACTCAGCATAATACCCTCCAGGTCCCTCCACATCGAAGCAAATGGTGGGTATTTGTCGTTTCTAGTGGCTGAGGAATATCCCATTGTACACAGAGACCACATGAAGAAGGCCATTCCTAATTGAGTCCCTAAGAATCTCTCCTTCCCACCCCTCCATCTCTTGCAGATGGGCTCATGATTTTATACAGCTTTTATTGTGATAAAAAATACACATAACGTAAAATTTACCATTTTAACCATTTTAAAGTACACAGTTCAAGGGCATTAAATACATCCACGGCATTGCGTTCCCATCACCACCATCATCTCCAGGACTTTGTCATCTTCCCAAACAGAAACCCCATCCCTGTGAAACCCTGACTCCCCAGGCCCCTCCCCAGCTCCACCATCCGTCATCATCTCTATGAGCCTAATGGCTCTACGTACGTCGTACAAGTGTGATCATACAGCATTTTTTCACGTGTGACTGGCTTCTTTCACTTGGCACGTGTCTTCAAGGTTCACCCATGTTGGAACATGTGTCAGAATTCCCTTCCTTTTTCAGGCTGAATAGTATTCTATTCTTTACCACATTTTATTTATCCATTCATCCGCTGAGGGACACCTGGGTTGCTTCCACCCCTTGGCTGTGGTGAACACTGCTGCTGTGAACACAGGCGTACAGACATCTCTTTGACTCCCTGCTTACAGCTCTCTGGGGTTTACACTTAGAAGTGGGATGGCTGGATCATGTGCTGACTCCATGTTTACATTTTTGCGGAACTGCCAGACTGTTCTCCACAGCAGCTTCACTAGGTCACATTCCTGCCAGCAGCGCACAGCCTCCTCCTTTCCTTGCCAACAATTCTTCTTATTATTTTTAAATGATAGTCATCCTAATGCATGAGATGTGACACCTCATCATGGTTTTGGCTTGCAATTCCCTAAGGATTAGTGAGGTGGAGTATCTTTTCGTGGGCTTATTGGTCGTTGCATATTTTCTTTGGAGAAATGTCCATTCAAGTCTTTTGCCCATTTCTAAGTCGGATTACTTGTTTTTTGTTGTTGTTGTTGATGCTGCTGCTGGATAATATTACATAGATTTAATAAGGGATTCTTGTCACCATCTTTCCTTGGAAATAAATGAACATCTACATTCATGGTTTCCAGCCCGCTTTCTGTTGCCCCGCGGTACTCTCACTCTTGAAGCAGGGGTTTGGCGATGGTTAAAAATGCAGACTTTGGCTCAGACCCCAGCTACACACTTTACCGGTTATGAATTTCTGGGCAGGTGGCCTTGTCTTTATGTACATTTTCTCACGTTGTGTGAATTAAATGAGTCAATCTACATAAAATACTCAGAATTCTACATGGAACATAGGAAATAAATAGGTGGAAGAGTTAGTTCCATTGTTTGTTGCTGTTGTCTGGCATGTCTCAATATTAGTCCAAGGAAAGTCAGAATGGCGGGGAGCAGGGGGCTCCTGGAGGTGCTGACAGGTGAGAACTAGGACATCCATTTCGGCAGCTGACAGAGGGGGTGCCCAAGCAGTATGTGCCCAGAGCCACCTGTGCGCCCTTGACCCGCTCATCTTATCCTTACATGGCTTGCCACCCCTGTCTCCATCTGCAGCCAGGAAAATGGAGACCTTAGAAAGATCAAGTCACTTTTCCAAAGTCCCGCAACTGCCAGAGGCAGGGACCAGGATGGGAACCAAGCCATCTGATCCCAGAGCCATAGGGACAATAGTTGTTATGAACTTTAATCATGATAGACCAGAATCTATATCTTGATTGTGGTCATGGTTACACAATTGTGTGGGTTTGTCAAAAGTAAAAAAGAGTGAATTCTACTGAATGCAGAGTATGCCCATAAATCTAAATATGGGGAAAAAATAGTTTAGGTCATTTCCCTGAGTTTGCTTAGATATGTTTTGTGCTTCCGGGCATTTTAGTGGCATTTATTGTGTTGTTCATTTGATAAGAGACCTTCACCTTGCAGACACAGAAACGTCAGCATTTACCCAAACAGCATCACACTTCCTAGAAAGATGTGAGCCTATTAGGGCTTCCACATACTGGGGGCAAGGATTCCAGGCTGGGCTTTCCTGGGTCAAATGAGCCACCTCTGCAAGTCTGCTTGGAGCGAGCACCTGCCGGGGGGACTTGGAGACTGCCAGCATCCGCCTACCCTGATTGTAGTGCTGTCACTGAACCGGAGGCCTGGTTCCCTTCCAGCTATAAATACCACCCTTCTTTGAGATCACAAAATTATCATAGGACTCCGGCTCCATTGACACTAACTTAACCTGAGGGGCCGCTGGTGTTGCAGTTCTGTTCCAGATGCATTTGCTGCCTCGCTTTTGCATTATGGAAAGGATGTTTGCAGAGAAGAGTCACATGTGTGATCACATGTGCACTTTGGAGAGAGACAAAGCCAAGGTGGTCAAGAGCTTTCCTGTGGCCCTGCCTTCCTCTCCGGGAGACTTCAACCTGGACATCCACACTGACTAGCTCTGCCCCTGCCGCGGGTGCACAGCAGGTCACTGTGCTCACCAACATCACAGCTTCCTTTGCCACCCAGCCCCATGCCCCCAGCCCCTCCACGTCATCTGCCCTCCCTCTGTCTGCCTGGATCCCTTCTCATCTGCCCCGGCCATGCTCTGCACAGGCTCCTGACCAAGCCCCCTTCACTCTGTGTGTGACATTTCTCCCAGAGCTATTACCTTTCCAATCTCGAAGTCGAACTCCCAGCCCATCTTGCTGTTCTGGAAAGGGACTTACGGCTCAACTTGGGTGGGCATTTCAAGGATATGGGACTGTGAAAAACACATTGGCAGGAGACAGAATGCTTGGGTAGCTTTTGAAAGCAATTTTATTGAATTAGTGTTGCTGCATGAACACACACACACACACACACACTTTCTGCTATGCCCACATTTGAGCAAGTTCAGTGTAGATGTAATGGAGGGTAACCATAAGCGTGTCTTTACGTATTAAATATTTTCAAACTAAATCTTGCTTTCTGATGAACCACTGGCCATGTCTTCTTGATTCAAAAAAATAGCTTAGGAATTTTGGAACATGATGGAACTGTTTTATATCTTCGTTGTGCTGGTGGCTACACAACTGTATGTTACATGTCAAATTCACCCTTCATAGGATGAGTTTTCCTGAGCGTAAACTATGCCTCAATAGAAACTGGAGAAACAGTAGGTTACAAGTGAGGAAGTCAATGGACTCTACACAGGACACCAATAGCCCATTGGTGAATTTTTCTCATGTAGTGAACTGACTCAGTGGTTATTCTGAACCTTGGGAATAACCAGTGTCCAATTCTAAATGTGGACCAGCTGTGGGAATTTCTTTGCCTTTTCAGTCCTCCTCCCTTTTGTGGGAACCATACTCTCTCCTTCTGGGGAACTCATGCCCCCTTACATGAAGCAGGAGTCCTAGAGGGGCTGATGTCACAGCAGCCTGGCCTCAGGCCATAGGGTGGCATAGCCTCAGGAGAGCCAGTCTGAATGCATCTAGGCAGGAGAGGCTGGTCTGGGCGGCCCAGGTGAGCTGGCATGTTGTTGGTGGCCAAGGCCACCCAGGTGAAAGAAGACAAAATGCAGATGAGGAAGATAGAGCTCATGAACCTAGAGAAATAGGGATGAGCGAGAGTCCTAGCAGTGCCCTGTGCTGGTACAGGCTGACTCTCATGCAGGACTCAGATCTGGCCCACAGCATCCGTCCTCAGTGATCACATGGCTCCCAGCCGTTTCTGAAGCTAGAGGTCCTAAGTTATGAGCCAGTCTTCTCTGAAAACAATACTGACTTTTTAAAATGCCTCTTCCAGGTTGACCTGTTTTTTTAAAAAAAAAAAAAAAAAGCTATACAGTTATGCATAAGCTTTAATCCAGCAATCTCCTTCTAAAAGATTACCTTAAGGAAATAATTATAAATGTGTGTAAATATGTAGCTGGAAGGATGTTCATTGCAGTTTTTTTTTATAGCAGTAAAAAGTGAGAAATAACCTGAACGTGAAATAACGGGAGATGGAAATAAGCCATAGAACACCCAGAAAATGACGCAGACATCAGAAGAAGGAGATGTGATGAAATGAAGGATATTAACAGTGTGGTTTTGCATTTTAAAAGCAAGCTTTAGAAAAGCTACGGACCACGTTTTTGTAGCTTAGAAACAATACAAGAAGGGAGAGAAAGGGAAGGATGCCCTCTGAGAAGCTGACAATGAGTATTTGTGGAAGTGGGATTCTGGAAGAGACTTTTTAAAAAAATCTATATTTTATGTATTTTTCAACAATCAACATGTATTGTCTTTGCATTAACTGGAAGTAACACATTTGTAACTAAAGAGAAATAAATCAAAATAATATCCATCATCTCCTTTTCTAAAAATCTCAACAAAGGAGGAACTCAGGACCCAGTGTGACTGAAGAGCTTGCCCAAGAGTTGACCTGAAGTTGTAGAAGCTCATTTGGGTTCCTTCCCAAGGCTGCAGACCACCCATCAGGGAGGGGCGATTGCAGCTGCCCTGAGGCTGGCCACTCCCTGGAGACAGGGTCCTGGCTGGGATGACACTTGCACTTTCGTGTCACATTAAGTACAAAGGACCTGGGTCAGGCTGGTGGGATGACAGGCATACAAATTTGATTAATATCAATTACTAGTAAAAACAGCCCAGTTGGTAAATATACTGTCTTCACCATTTCTCAGTGTGTAATTCAGTGGCACCATTTCAGAGCTTTCAGGGTATAAGTCTTTCTCTTCCTTGGTCAAATTTATTGCTAAGTCTCTTGTTCTGTTTGATG